ATGGAAAAAGCAAGCAAACAGACCTCAAGGTCTCTGTAGCCGGCTGTTGGTACAGATCATCTCACTCAAGGCTGAGTGTTCTTATCCCCACCCTGCCGCTTCCCTGATCCAGGAGGCCATATACTCAGAATGACAAATCATCTTTTTCATGCTGTCTCAGGGGTGGTGATTAGACCCTAGAAGGGTAGACTGAGCAAAAACATCTTAACTGTTTGGGCCCCAGTTATACAGAGAAATGGTTCTTAACTTTTCGTGAGTCATCGACTCTTCTGTAATAGAATAAAATCCATGTGTGTACCCTAGAAAAATCCATACCCCCACCCCATTCTGTGTGTACCCTAGAAAAAAACCATACATAAAAATTTATTTACAACTTCATGAAATACATAGTTATGCTTAAAACGTATCCGCCGGGTCCTGAGGAGTTCAACAGACTTGAGGCTATGGCATCCTAAAGCTGCTAGGACAGCCACACCCACTTTAGTGCAGCCAGAAATAACAGTTACAAACTAATTTTTGACATGGGCATTCATAAGAATCCTTCAAAACCTCAGGAGTCTTGCCAACATTGTTTGTAGATAATTCACAAGTCTGAACCCCTGTACATTTCAAAACATATCCAGGAAAGGAGATGTGTCTTGTACAGAGCCTGGTCAGGATTTGATCAGGGTATTACTGTAAGAACAGTCTCTCCACCCATGACTGTGCCTCTTAAGTCACACGACCCTGAGGGAGGACACCCAAGGTATAGGTATCAGTGATGATGGAAATTCCAATCAGGCAATTGTACCCGAGGGAGGGACAGTTGGAGGCAGACCCTCTCTGAGCAGATGTTCCTCGATCCTACCCACTTGTGTTCAGGTTTGGTGTGCGTTCTCTAACTATTTATCTCTGTCCATAGGATCCCTTCATGCAAAACTGGGCAAGTGGCTTGTTATTTATTGGTGATAATTATAAGTAACACGTATTGAGCACATGTTTGCCAGGCACTTTCCTGGGTGCTTTAATGCTTTTAACTTTGTACCTCTCTAGGATTCTAGGAGGGGACACTATTATACTAGTTGTATAGATGGATAAATTTACATTCATTTAGAATTAACAGCAGCTGAACAAAGACCCCACCAGGGCTGTCTCCATCAAAGCCTGCCATTGCCACCTAATGCCATTTATACACAGCCCACAGTTGCCATGGCTGTAGATCTCTACGCTCATTGTACACAGTAGGGTTCTGACAACAACTTCCTACTCTCCGGCTATAGACCTGAGGAGGATGGCCTCCATTGGGCAGGCTACTATGTACTGACTCTTTTGGGTCTTCCATGCTGGACTTGGTGCTCCTGTTCAGGTTCAAAGGCTGTTGTTGTTTGAATGAGCTGTCCTCCATAATCTTGAGCATTTGACTGTTCAGTTCCTGGTTGCTGGTGCTGTTGGGAAGCCTATTGAGGTGTGGCCTTGCTGGAGGAAACATGTCAGTGCAGGTGGCCTTCAGAAGTTTGAACACTCATGCCATCCTGAATTCACTCTCTCCTATTCATGCTCTTCAAGCTGTGAGACATCAGCTGCCTCCTGCCACCATGTGTTTGCTTACCATCATGGACTCTAGTCCTCCGGACTACAAACACAAATAAGCTCTTTCCTCTTAAGTTTTCTTGCTCATGGTGTTTTGGTACAGCAATAGAAAGGTAACTAACGTAAGTGATTAGGTCCTTTGAATCGAATTCACTTCTCAGTAAACTTGCCAACCCAAGCTTGCATAGGTGTCCAGTTTTATGAAACAAAGTCCTTGCTGTGTAACCCCAGCTGGGCTTGAATTAATGGTCATCCTTTCTTAGCTGAGATTACATGCATGCCCTCTGACACCTGGCTTAGGATCTCTCTCCAGAGCTCTGACCTCTCTCTCATGTGCCTTGAGGGATTGCTGGCCCAGGGTAGCTGCACTCTGGTTGGATGCTGTTTAATTATCAGTGTAAATACTTTGTATCATGGTCTCTGTCTTTACACTCAATTTTGTCATTCTGGGATTCCCTCCCTATCTATCTATCTATCTATCTATCTATCTATCTATCTATCTATCTATCTATCTATCTATTTGTCTGTCTGTCTATCTTCTGTTATTTGGTCTCTCTCTCTCTCTATCTATCTGTGTGTGTGTATAGATAAGCATGCTATTGCGTGTGATGGTCAAAGGCCAGCTTGTGAAGGTTGGTTCTTCCCTTCACCATGTGAGTGCTGAGGCCCCTGCTATTGGTGACAGGTACCTTTCCTTGCTGAGCCATCTTACCAGCTATGGGCCGCTCTTCACAGGCCAGCTATGCCTGGGATCTTAGGCTGTGACATCAGAAGGCCCACCTTCCTGTTCCTGTTTTCTCAGGAAGGGACTTTTTGGATGGCAATAGAACTGAACCCACTCTTCCTGTACTGGAATGCTTCCTATGTTTTCATTAACTGTTCTGTGTCATCAGGCAAGCAGAGGAGGTGGCTAGTAGCACTATCCATTCATTCATGACACATTTATCAAGCTCCTATTTAAGATCCAGGCAAGGTGTTGAGTGCTGAAGTTGCCATGGTGACCAACATAGAACTTTCTTCTGCATTCATAGTTTACTGCTTCAGAATGAATCACACGTGAAGAGGCACTTGCAATACAATTTGATGAATATTCTGAGGCAATATTAAATATCTTGAGAATACATCAAAGGAGCCACCTACTCCATGTTTGAAGGGCTAAGAGAGATTACCTGGAGGTAGTTACACCAGAGACATGAAGGGTGGCTGGGAGAAATAAGGCGGTTGAAGATGTTGGTAGTCAGAGTGTGAGAAGGAAGAGGAAGTTTGAGAAAGATTCAAGGCATACAGGCAGAGAAAGTATCTGACCCACATGAATTCAGAATAGCAACCGCTGAGTTTAAGTGGGCACAGGCATACCATGGGAGGTGGTATGTGGAGTATGGGCATGGTGTCATGTAACTCCTGCATGTCTGCTGGATATCCCATGTTCTCAAAACATGTTGTCTCTGCTGCAGCTATAGCCAACTGCCTGGCATGGCGATGTTGCCTCTAGAAACAAAGCTGGAGCTTCCATCATCACCAGCCACCCCAAACGGTGCTGGTGGTTAATCCCCACTGGTGCAGGTGCCACTGAAGCCCAGTGACATTCAACCACTTGTCACAAGCCATCAGGCTGCAAGTGGCAAGGTGGAATTGGGGCCTGGACCGATCCCAAAGCTATGGTCACAACACAACAGCTTCTCTTTCTCCGCCACCATTACAGCCATTTGAAGAACCGTTAGCTCGGCTTTGTCATATTTTTTTACTGGCATTCTCTTCTCCATGTGAAAGCTCCTTTAACAGGGTCATGTATCTCAGGCTGACCTTGACCTGCTTAGACAGCCTGGAATGACCTTGAACTCCTGATCCTACTACTTCCACTTCCCAAGTACGACTGCAGGATGCACCCCCACGCCCAGTTTCTGTGGTGCTGAGAAGGAAACACAGGATAGTCTGTCAAGTGAGATCCACCCTGAGGGCCTAATTGATCATAGTTTTTAAGATGCTCCCAAAGGTTGGATCAAAGATTTTGGGGGTGCGTCTCTGAGATTCTCCCTCTTGGATAGGCAGGATTTAATCCAGACACCCCGAACTTTTGTATATGTTAAATGAACAAGAGCTTGCCCCAGCTGGCTGCATCTCTAAGATGTGAGATGGCCTCTTGTTCCTCATGTTCTTTAAGGAAGGGACAACCATTTTTGATGTTGGTTAGTATCTTTAAATTCTCCTCAGAGGAAATGGCGACTTCTCATACAGAGACTGTTGGGCAATCTTGGGCATCCTAAATGAGTAGCAAGAGAGACTTCTTGATTTCCTACCCAGACTTGCACTGTGCATGCACTGTATGTTGTTTGTCATTTGCTTTCATTTTTACCACCTCTATCATCACTTTAATGTTCAGTATCCATGCTAAAAAGCTATACAGCTTTATGACTCTTTGCTCATCTCAAACACCCAGCAACAAGCCTGGTGGATACCAACTTAGAAATGGATGTGTTTACTAGTTAAGGCTCTAGCTCCAGACACAAGTCTTAATGATGACCAGCCCTTCCTTAAGTGTCTCTCCATTAGGGGCTTGGCTTTCCCTGCAGTCAGATGCCCCACCTCTCCATTCCTGAGGATATTCTGCACCCTTTCACCAACTACCCTTCTGCATTCTGGCAGCAAATAGAAAAGGCAGTTTTTAAATTGTTTCCATCATCATACAGCCTTTTCTCAGAAATATCACTTTTCTAAAAATGGAAGGGGGTGGAGGCATGGAATGATTTCCAGTTAACACAGTCATGGAATTTTCTAGGAGAAAGCTGGTTTCCATGGTGGCCATTATATAGTTTGGAGTCGACAGGCCTGCGTATGTTTAGAACTCTGCCCCTGCACGTGAAGGGGGGCAGGCCACTGCATCTTTGTCCACCATTTGTAAGATACTGATTCCCACAGCTGTTACAGGAACAGGTCGCATATTGTAGTGAGGCTGTAGCTTTGACCCGGGAGGTTCAAAATTCTTATCAAGAGGGCCTGGAGAGAGGATCAGTGGTTAAGAGCAGATCCTGCTCTCTCAGGGGACCTGAGTTTAAATCCTCACACCCACATTAGGTGGCTTATAACTGCCTGCAACTCCACCTCCAGGGTTTCTGACAGCTCTGGATTCTATGGGCACCTACACTCTCTCTCATACACATAAGTAAAAATCAGTAAATGTTTAGAATCGCTATCAGGAGAACCATCTGCCTGTCTGTCCGCAGGGTAATCTGATATATTTTTGCTTCATGGGAGCCTTTTTTTTCTTTTCCCTGTGAAAGACCAATCTTCAAAGGCCGGGAACGACACTGCTTTCATAAGTGCTCTGGCTCTCACCTGTTACAGTTGCCTAATAAAATGGAAATCTAGAGAAGACTGCAGCTGCCATTGTTAACTTCGCCTTCTTCAATCCGAGGCTTATATTTTTGTTACAGAATGATGAAGTGGAATTTGTCAGAACTGGCTATGGAAAAGATATGGTCAAGGTTCTCTATATTCAGAGGGATGGAAAATACCACAGCATCAAAGAGGTGGCGACTTCGGTGCAGCTGACCCTGAGATCCAAGAAGGATTACCTCCACGGTGATAACTCTGACATCATTCCAACAGACACCATCAAGAACACAGTGCATGTCCTGGCGAAGCTCAAAGGGGTATAATCATCCCTAGATGCTTGCTGCCTCTTGATGCAAATTCAGTACAAGCTCACATGGGGGCGGAACTTGCTTATTTTAAGTTTTCATTTCCTTTTAACCTATTTTTACATATATGCCATTTTTAAATTTTTCCTTTCTGCCCTAAAATTCTCAGGCTTACAGAAAAGCTTGCTTCATTTTATTCTTTTGATTTACCTCATTAGTTAGGAAGGGAAGCTCCTGGCAAATTAATTTGTTACCTCACATAGGAACTATGGGCAAGTCAAGGTCATGGGAGGATTTCAGACTAAATTTAACTCATTTTTGCATTTCTTTAAGTTCTATCACTTTTAGAATGTGCATTTGTAGCAGAAAGTGCCATTGTTGTACAACAGAAGAGAATTTTGATTATAAGATTCTCTACTTATTGGAAAAATCTAAAAATCTGTGTCCAAAAATTTGTGTCTCCTGTTTTGGTTTTTTGTTTGCTATAACAAAATGCCCCATACTTCAGGGCATGGAAGGGGACCACATAGGGCAGGAAGTGTTTATTCTGGCTCATGGTTTAAGGGTATAGTTTCGTGGTCTTCAACCTTCCTAATGCTTCAACTCTTTAATACAGTCCCTCATGCTGTGAAGACCCCCAACTATAAAATTATTTTGTAGCTACTTCATAACTGTAATTTTGCTACTTTTATGAAATCGTAAACATCTGATATGTGAACCCCAAAGATGTCACCACCCCCAGGTTGAGAACCATAGTCCGTCCTGGTGGGGACGTCTTGGCAACAGGAGTGTGAGGCAGTTAATCACACTGTGTACACAGTTAGGAAGCAGACAGATGAGTGCTGGCGCTCAGCTTGCTTTCCCCCTTTTTATCTATTCTGGGATCCAGGAGATGGAATGACCCCGCCCGCATTCAGGCCGTGTCTTCCCACCACGGAAATGCTCAGACACATCCAAAGACTAACTTACTCTTTGGGAACCCTGGAGCCCATTTGCAAGCCTCATGAAAAGACCAAGTATTACAAACACATTGAGAAAAGATTCTGGAACACAGTTACTTTTTGTTTATCTACTGATACCTTCTTGCATGCAAAGCTGGTTTCTTTATAAACACAGGATGGGGCTAATGAAATGGCTCAGCAGTTAAGAGACTGGCTGCTCTAGCACCCACATGGTGGCTCACAACCACCTGTAACACCAGTTCCACAAGATCCATCACCCTCTTCTGGTTTCCATGGCACCAGACACGAACATGGTGCACAGACATGCATGCAAGCAAGACACTCATACATATAAAACAAAAAATAACAAAAACTTTTTAAATGATAACAGGATAGTCTCCTTGGTGATAGAAATCTGTGAACCACACCCAGGGACTGTAGAGAAAAAACAGGATGGGGCTCTTCATCTCCTGAGATCCTAATTCCTTGTTTCTCTCATTGGGAGAAACAAGTGCTCAGGAAAGGGCACTGGCCAGTGCTCAGCATTTCCTCTGGGCTGGACTCAGCATGGATGCCTGTAACCCCAGCCCTCGGGGGCTGGTGCAGAAGGACTGCCATGAGTTTGATGCTTGCCTGGGCTGACCATCGAGGCTTATCTTAAATAAACACAAATACTTTAAGCCAGATACAGAGGCTTAAATCCCAGAATTAGGTGTAGACAGAAGGTTCATGGGTTCAAGGTCAAACTGGGCTGTGTAGTCAGTGAGCCCCTACCTCAGAATAAAGGAAAAAAGCGAATCTGCCGAGTGTCTTAAATGAGAGGTTTTTGATCAGCAGTATGTCTTTCTTTACAGATAAAAAGCATAGAGACCTTTGCTATGAACATCTGCGAGCACTTCCTTTCTTCTTTTAACCATGTCACCAGAGCCCATGTCTACGTGGAAGAGACCCCCTGGAAACGCTTTGAGAAGGTGATATCATTTATGCTCCCAGTTTAGAGAAACTGCTATCATGGTTTGTGCTGGAATGTGACTGGAAACAACTCTGCCCTCCTTTCAGAACGGAATCAAGCACGTCCATGCCTTCATCCACACCCCTACGGGAACACACTTCTGTGAAGTGGAGCAGATGAGGAACGGTAAGACACCATTCTTCAAAAGACAGCAGGAGTCCTTTGTTGGGTTTTTGTTTGTGTGTTCTTTCCTTCGTTTTTCATTTTGTTTTGTTTTGTTTTTGTTTTTGGCCCTACGAAATTCTTTTTATTAACATGGAGGAAAGTAGAAGATTTGTAAATCTTTTAAATCTGAAATTATGACTTTGAATTTTATGTTACAAGGTTATCTGTTTCTGGCTGAAAGAACAAATGAGGTAACTTTCTATTGCAAAATCTGGAGATTGAGTGGTGGAAATTTTGTATTACCCAGTTTTGAAGTGAAACAAGAAAATAAATAGCAAATGCTGAAAATGACAAGAATACAGATTCCCAAATTTCCAGACCAATGGTTTTGGCATAATATCAAGATATAATGATAGTAACTAATATATGAAATTACTAATGTTTCCCTGACATTTTATTTGCATAATAAAATACTAAGAATATCATAATCTCTTTAAAATGAGTCTCATTTAAAAAAGTAATGACTATTACATAAATCTATTTAGTAAGAAATTTAAAAATATGAAACATTATTATAATATAAACCTTATTAGCACTAATAATTAATCTGAGCAAATACTGTTCCTATAGCTGGTATTCTCTTGATTTGTTGAGGTCATGAGGAGCAGAATTAACTAATCCATTCAGATTTGGAGCAAAGAACTTCACAGCATAGAGGCAAAGATGACAGAAACACTTCTTTCTTAGTAAGAGACACTTTAGGGATCATTATAGATTCAGTGTTGAAGTTAAATTTTGCCTGTTTTTATTTCCTTTCTTCCTTCTTTATCCCTTAATGTTTCTAACTCTTTGGATTAAGTCTAGATATAGCTAAGGTTGTGTCAGTGTTTGAATAACAGCTATAACATTATTATTATAGGAGAAATAAAAAAGTCATATTAACCTTTTCAGACAATATTGATTACTAGACGCTTAAACAAGTGGTAACACTTTGTCACTGAGCTGTTCTCTAGAAAAACACTGATTTACTCTCTATCTTTTCTCCCTCCCTGCCTTCTTTTTCTTTTTCTTCATCACAGGCAACATTTTCCTTCCTAAGCTACACTGACTATTGACATAAAGTCTAGTGCCAGGGTCCAGCCCTGAATGAGCGCAGGCATGAAGAAAGGTGGGGGGGAGAGCTTGTCACATCAGTTTTGTTTCATGAGACTGGACAGAGAGAAGTGAATCTGGCTTGACCTGCTCTGACAACCTGTGTCTCTTGCAAGTTTGATACACAAAATAATTTCCTCAGAAACTTTAAATCATTGATTACGTAGCTTTAACTCTTTCTTGGTTATGTAAGTATATAGGAACAAGAGAAACAAAGCAAGCGAATTTCATAAGCACTAAAAATTAACATTATAATAAAATCAGTTTTCTTTTAACTCAAAGTTTTCTTCCCTAAGATTGGTGTCGGTAAAGGATAGGAGAACATCAGGATTCCTAAAGCTGTTTACTTTATTAACAAGGTCTGTCAATTACAGCCAGATGAAAATCTCTTCCTGTCCATGCTAGTTTTTGTTTTGGTTTTTTTTTTCTGAAGCTGAACATTAAAGCCTAGTGATTCAGTTACAGCTTGTCAGCTTCCAAATTTTCCCTGTTTTTCTTCTTTAATAATTTTTTTCAGGTCCTCTATCTCATGCTTACTAATATCATTTATTAATAATCTAAAAGTCAGTCTAAATAGATTCTAGGGAACCTATCTTCTGCATAGCTGTTTTTCCCAGGAAACCACCATTAGTTTTCCTTTATATTTTTATCAACACCATCTTTTGTTACTTTATCCTAACTCTAGCCTTTGGAGAGAGGCCCTTAACAGTAACATCCACTAAGGGCAGTGAAGGGTCAGTTCAGGACATCCAGGCACAGGCCTTCAGGGTGCTTGCCTCGCCAATCTAGGCCAGCTCTGTTTAACTTTGTATATAATTTTAAAGTTTTTTAGTAGTCACTTTAGGAAACCAAACAAATGAGAAAAAAATTCTAAATAATAGAGTTAGAATAATTAACATAAATGTTAATTAACTAATTTTCATTCTTTGAAGTGTTGTCTCTACAGTCACATAGATATTCAGTATTTACAGCTTGACTCACATTAGCTGTGTTTCAAGTACTGCCTGGCAGCAGGTGGCTGGAGGCCAGTGTATGGTGCGGCCTAGCTCTCAACTGATTTTCATAAACATTTGGGAACTTAACACTTTATCCCATTCTCATCTCACTTTTGAAGACTTGAAATGACCAGAAGCTGACTTGAGGAGAGCTGATTAAAACTAAACCCATTTATGGGAAGTGCTGGTGTGATTCATTCAAGCACTGATCTAGTAGACACCGAAGACATACTAGCACAGGAGATGGTAGGGTGGGGAGATGTGCAGAACTTTCCCTAATCTCAGAGAATCTGTGGTACATTTCGCTATAGGAGACAAGACTCCCAAACAAATGCATTTGCAAGAAGAAGGGCTAAGGACCACAGTGGAGGGATTAAAGGCATCCTATGGGAACAGAGATGGTCCAAAACCCACTTCTTCCCAAGGTGGTGTAGAAGGTTCTAGCAGGGAAGAGGAAACGTTCCGATTGACATTTGCAAAATGATTTTCATTCCGCTGGTCATGCATGAGGAAGTGTCTGCACTGAGGAGCAGTGGTGTTCAGTGGTGTTCAGGTTGCAGAAAGGACTGAAAGGCGTGGGCATTCTGAGTGCCTGCCTCATGCTGGGCCCACATAGACAGGTGTTTATTAAATTATTGAGGGGGCAAAACATTTGTAGAACAGAGCTAAGCTCAGTGAGGCTGATTCCTCCAGGGCCCTGAGTGGCTCTTTGTGCTAAACCGGCATGCATAGTCTAACTTAAAGGCAGGTTGCATGATAAACCACGGACTACATTAGAATTTCTATCAAATAAATTCCTAGTCACAGCCAGAGGCTTTGGGGTCAGAATAAGCTGTGCTTGAATTTGAGCTAACACCATGACGATGACAAGGGAGTCACAGTTCTTCAATGGGTTTTCATTTGTAGTATGAGGATTCTGAGGCCCACCTCTACAGTTGTCCAGAGAAATAAAGGAGATAATTGCTAAATTTATTTCACTAAAGCTATTAGCATAGTACCTGACATACAAGAAGGTCTTAAATAGTAGCCATCATAATTTATTTAGTTTGACACCTGAAAAGCAGAGGTCTCTAACGATCAAGTGTGTGTGTGTGTGTGTGTGTGTGTGTGTGTGTGTGTGTGTGTGTGTAATTCTGTAAGGTCTTCATCAGACACTGATTTTGAATGTTTGTTTCCCAGCTGCTGGGGTTATTTTGGGAGCCTCTGGCATATTTAAGAGTTGGGGCCTAGCCAGCAGCAGTGGGTGACTGGCTCTTGGTTCTGGCCCTGCTCTCCGAGGCCTGTTCTGCTTCATGCACACTTCCACCACATGCTTCCACCACAAACTGCTCTGCTCTGCTCTGCTCTCCCTACCATCATGGGCTGAGACCGAGACACACTGAGCCCAGTGTGTTTTTCCGGTTTTAAGTTGTGAATATCCTTTGTTCGGTGGTTCTGACCAAAGTGTGGGATCAACAGACGCATGATAGGTGAATGAAGCCCCACGGAGAGAAACAGTTTCAAAAAACAGAAATAATAGATAAATACATTGGCCAGGTTCTGTAAAGAAACAAAACTGATAGAATATACATAAAGGTGACTTAGTAGACTGGCTTACAGGATATGGTCCAGGTAGTCCAACAATTGCAGCCTCTCCCTGGAGATCCCAAGAATCCAGTAGTTGGTTGTTTAGTCTGTAAGGCTGATGTCTCCGCAGCCCTACCTGGCTCTGAAGGCCTGCAGCATTCCTGCAGAGCGTCTGGTCTTCAGTTCCAACAACCTGGTTCTAATCCCAGTGAAGGAATGCCAGCAAGAGTGAAAGCAGGCAAGCAAAGAGGCAAAAGCTTCTGTCTTCCGGGCCTTTTTATCTGTGCTGCCACCAGTACGCACTGCGCACATTTTGGGTGAGTCTTCCTGCTTCACACAATAGGACCAAGAAGGCCTTTCACAGGAATGCCTAGAGGCTTGTGTCTTAGTTGTTTTCAAATCCAGTTTAGTTGACAACTGAGACCAGTCATCTTGTAAAGTGAGAAAAGGAGAGATAAAAGCCCAGGGAAAATACCTTATTTTAAAACTTTGGCAGAAGACTTGTCAGAAAGACAGGAGAAGTGTCTAGAGAAACAGAAGAAAAATGTTTTTATTGGGGATAGTTACAGAGGCAGCAAAAAGCAAAGAGACCCATATGCAATAGCTCAGGGGTCTTCTTTCTATAAGCCCATTTTGTTCAGGTGCAGGGTGGGGGGGATAGAGGTGATGATCATCAGCTGTGAAGTTAGACAGAATCCTAGACAGCCTTCCCTTGCTGCTCCTTATTTTGGGGGTTCACCTTGATAACAACTTGCCATGTTGGATAAATAGATGTAAAGATACTGAAGGGGAAAAAGAGGACCGGGCCCTACCAGGTCATAAGGGGCCCAGAGCACTTCCTCTGGGATGATTCACATGCCTCACACCTGACGGCAGGAGGCCATAAAATGGTGTCTCATTGGATGTCCATGCAGAAGGGGAAATTGATTTGATATCTGCCACAGATGGCTGAAGGGACACTCTGGAGTTGGTAAACATCCGTGGGGATTTTCACAAAGGTATTTTCAGGCAGGGGAGTGGAAGCCGAAGTAACGGTGGCTGCGTCCAGGACGCTGACTTCTCTCACTACCTGCATGCCAGGAGTCAGTATCTGCTTACCTGAGTTCTAATCACAAGGCTGGGGCTGCCGAGTAGAAAGATCAGCCTCAGACTCAGTTCAAGTCTTTTGTCTCTGCAGGTGGCTACAAAGCTTCTGAGTACAGGCAGACCTGTGGCAGTTTGCCCAGTCAACTGATCTGGAGCTCGGGCGGCTCTGACATCCTTCAGGGCTGGCAGGGATATGGGGTAAGGGGACTGGTGTGCAGTACG